AACATGTACCTCTTCCGAAAATCTTGAATCTCGAGAACATCCACACCAATGATCAAGGTCACGTCCTTTGACGTGCTTATTTGAACATCACCTATTACATAAAATATTGTAGTAGCCAATTAGTATAAACCAAATTGTCGATTTAATTATTGAAAAAAATCATGAATTAAAAATGATGATAACCTCTCCACTTTCTTGCACGACACATTTGCATTATGATGACGAACATTTTCATAATGATGCTCCAAAGGAACCAATTGATCAACATATCGGCCCCAAACAGTGCACTCCTATACGTTTCCCCTAGACAATGTCGAGACAATTTTTATAACATCGGATCGAAAATATTTTTAAAACAATGATCTTTTATATATATTTTTTAAAATAATTAAATGCGTAAAACAATTTAATTAAAACCATTTTTTTTAAAAAAATACATATAAAAGGATAGAATATAAAAGATGAAGATATAGACTAAAGATTCTTACTCCAAATTCATAATAGAGAATGCTATCATTTGGCTAGGAACTCCCTTGACAACCTTCATTTGAATAGATTGTATTGAAACAACCAATCCAGTAATATCTACATAAATATAAAAAAATGCATCATATTAAATAGTATATTACAGAATTTAAATTTAAATAAAAAAATGTACAAAATAAGAAATAAACAAAAAAGAAATTATTAATGTACCAAACAACACGGCTTCATCGATCTTACGAACATCCATCAAAGTTAGAAAGTTTCTAAACTCAAAACGATGCATAGGAAAATCCCCCTTCCATTTGACAATCTTGGTTTGACCATTGATAATGATCTTTCATTTTCCTATCGTGGATTTATAGATGCCAATATTGCTTTCAACTTGATAGTTTATCAAGACATACTTACTACCTTCTTCAATATCGCCGATGAAGTTTTGGATATTGACAGGTCGAATTATGTCAGTAATTCGTAATCCCTAAGACTGTACATATTGAATAATTTAATAAATAAACTATAAAATATGGTTGCATAAAATGATGCATTTAAATTTAAATTAAAATATAAATAATAATAAAAGAATATATTACCTCAAAATCGTGAAAGATAATCTCAAGAACATTTCGATAATTGCGTACATCTTCATCTCGTTGGAACATCCTAATTATGCGTAGGTTGATTGATGGCTTATTGGATCTTTGGATATTCTTGATGACTCCAAAATTCAAAGGCATTTGAATGCTGTTGTAAAAGCTTCGTGAAAAATTTGTATTGCGGGATGTGCATGATGTTGAATATTTGTTGTTCAAAATTGGTGATGTTTATATAGTCATGTGTATGAGCCATACGACGTCACGGGGATTTAAAACTATTTACGTCTTGTACTAATCTTTTTAATGGATACTATCTGATATTTTTTATTATGATATTATTAATATCCCGTCGGATCCGATCTGATCTACTTGATTATGCTTATGATGAGTTGGCAAATATATGGACGATTTCGATGCAATCTATAGTAATTAAGAAATTTGTGACCAAATAAAATCCTAAAAAATTAGATATTATATATGTTGGTAAAAAAATGAATAATCGTCAAACAAATGTGAAAAGCCGTGTACTAACAACAATTCATATTCATATACAAAAATCAAAACTCTAGCAATATAGTTAACAAAATCCGATAACTTTGGTAAGACAATTTCAATCATTATCTTCAAGATCTTGTAATATTATGAAAAATGTGAACAAATAAAATCACTAGCAATATAGTTAACAAAATCCGATTACTTTGGTAAGACAATTTTAATCATTATCTTCAAGATCTTGTAGTATTATGAAAATTGTAAACATATAAAATCGTACAGAATCCGCTGACATTGGTTAAAAAAATCCGAACTAATTTTGTAACGAGAGAGTAATTACATAAATTAAATTTTAACATGTGGGGCCTATTGATGTTATTTTAGTAACTCAAAATATTAATTTTCAAGTTAAGCATACTATTTTTGCATTTTTCCAACATCTATATATTACTATAGACTGGATCATGTATTTTGATTTCCGTTATTTAACTAAAATAATATAATCTATAATTATCCATTAATCTAAATAATATTGAATTTGATTTATTTAACTTACACAATATAATTTTTAATTATCTTTAATGTAAATAATATTTAAAACTGCCACCCATATTTTTAAATAGTTACAAAATTAGAAAAGTTAAATAGTAATAATTTAACAGTTTTAGCAGCCGACATTTCTGCCTCAAAATGAATTTTATGAAGGCTCCCAGATAAAAATTATCCAACATATTTTTTTTTTTGTTTTTTATATATAAAACTCTTAATTGTTTGTCTTAATTCAAAAAAAATAAGTAATACATCTTCACGTTGCTCAATATTTAATTTATAAAATTAATTTGAATATTAACACAATATTTGTTTTTATAAAATTCTTTTTAATAATTTTTCTGCATTATAACCTGTAAAATATAGTAAAATAAAATTATTTTTAATATCGTACACCGGTTCGCAGCTTCAGTTGGTCCCTGTCGTATAGAAATTGCCGGTTCAGTGGATAATGAGATTCGATAAATAGCATAGCACATACACAAACTGATTGATACATGCGCAGGTGAAAACAAGCCCTAATCAAATTCAACCTAAACCCAAATTCACCCATCAGAGCTCCGATTTCACACTCGAATTTAGTATTACCAGCGACTGAAATTCATTTCTCGCCGGAATTCGTTTGCGGTTGCTCATAACACCGAATGATGAGTGCCTTGACCACCGCGACGACGTTTTTCCCGAGCTCGTTCCAGCTCAAATTGGCGATCGGAAGCCGAAGACACCCCGTGTCTTTCTATCGAGTCCGCCTTCAAAATGTTGGTCGGGGGCGTGTGAGTTTTGTCTCGCTGGTGGTTCGGAGTAGCGCCGCCGTCAGTGACAACGGATCTGAACGGCTTGGTTCTGGTAATTCGTCGTGGAATAATTTGGATTCACCGTCCGATGGTTTCTCTGGTTGGGCCAACGCCGATGCTGATCGGCAGTCTGGTGATCCCAAGCCTAAGCGATCGCTTGTAGGTGAGAGAGTTTGTGAAATTACTTTTACTTATTATCAGGCTCTGTGTATCACGAAAGTAGAGTTGTGGTGCATTTGGTTCCTGAGAGTGCTGTAATATTCTGTGTATATGATTGACCTTTTACTTTTATAGTTCATACTGGAGTTGAAGATGTGAAGTTGGATTAAAATGGATGCCTAATATCTATGTTTTTTGGCATCTTGGCGTTATATCTGTGATATTGGTTACTATAGATTTCTGAAGGTGATGACTTCTGCCGTAGGCTAATAACACTTGTGAAGTAGTTTACTCTCAGGAATACTTGGGGCAGGAGCCGTTGGGGCTGTTATGGTTGCTGGCTTGATCGCCGCTGCAATGTCTATGAGTAGGAAGAGAGCTCCAAGTGAGTATTTTTTTTTTTTTCAGTTGAATTATTATTATTATCTTTTGTGTTGTGAATAGCTATGATCTCTCTCTCTCTCTCTCTCTCTCTCTCTCTCTCTCTCTCTCTCTCTCTGAATCGAATGGTTTTATTGCAATGTTTTATCAAATACCTGGAGGATAACATTGTTGTGAAGACCATGTTGCCAAACATTATTTTTTTATATGAAGGACCTAAATGTTAGGAATATTATAGTAATTTATTTCCGTGAAAAAGTAGTCATTTTAACTCATCTTCATGTGACTACCCAAACATTAATACACGGGCCTCCTGTGCAGTAGTTAAAACAGAAATGGGGCCTTTGACAACAAAACAAGAAATGCTACTATCTTCTGATGACGGCCCAAATCAAGTTCAAGACGATAAAGTTGGGAGGTTGGAGAGCAGTAGTGAGGCAAGCCCGATAGGTACAAATGGGGATCCTTCTCTATATATTGAAAATAATGAAACTATTGGAGCGAAACTTAGTGATAACACTGGTCTGATGAGCCAGTCCCTGGAGGATGGTGATGGCTATGTTCCAACAGATGTCCAAAGGGAATCAGCTACTGATGACAGTTTGGTTTCCCTTGAAGCCCCAGATAAACCACCGTCTTCTAATGTCACTGATGATCTACTAGCTTTCCAGAGTAACAATGGCAATACACCTTCTGTCTCAGGACCATCTGTATTCGATGCCAATTTAGAAAATTCAACGACTGAGAATCCAAATGGTGTGTCTAGCTTGAATGAAAAGGAAAATGGCTTGCCACAAGACCCTTCTTTTCCTGAGACTTCTATATTAAATATCTCAATCAAATCTCAATTGGATACAGTTATTGAATCTGGCAATATCCAAGAAGAGTTTGTGGGGTCTGGAAGTGTTCTTTCAGCAAGGGATGTTGAACGTAGCCAAGATCTTTTAACAGTGGATGTTGATCCACTTTTGGAGGTTTCTGTTGATGGAGATGATAAATCTCCTGCCACTAAAAATCTGAATGGAAATTCACCAGTTGGAGCACCTTTGGCACCAGAAGTAGCCTATCGATCTGGAAATGAACGCCACGAAAATGAGTTCAATGATATAAATGTTGTCCAATCCTTTTTTGACTCTACGGATCCTGGCAACTTCTTCACTTCAGCTGGCATACCAGCTCCATCTGCACCTCTGAAGCTTCCGACTGGAAAGGTTTTGGTACCTGCTGTTATCGATCAACTCCAAAGTCAAGCATTTTCTGCTTTGCAAGTTTTAAAGGTGTGTTAAAAATTGAGTTATCAACTAGGTCGTCTGGAAAGATTATATTTGATATTTTACAATTCCAATTTTCTCTACCATTACTCTTCCACAGTGAAATATAAAATAAATGGGGCAACCAAGTAGGAAACTAATTCAGTTGAGCTGTACTCCAATAAATTTTGTTTATTTCAAAGTGTCTCTTGCACTTTTCATTCGATGTAAAAAGTTTAAAATGAGATGACTTATATGTCCGAGAACGATTAATGGTTTAGACATATCTTTCAATGCTGAACTACTTTATGTAAAGGTTTGAACCTGAATTTTTAACTTCGTGAGCTATTCCAGGTGATTGAGGATGGTGTTCAACCTGGAGATTTATGTACTCGTCGGGAGTATGCTCGTTGGTTGGTTTCAGCCAGCAGTTCCCTTTCCAGGTAATAAGTCAGTTAATTTATTGATGAGGGGCAATCTAAGGCTCTGATTTCATTCACTTGAAACAACCACAAATGAGAAGGAACGACTGTGATGCAGATCATAATTTCCTCTTTATTATTTTAGGAACACAACTTCAAAAGTCTATCCTGCTATGTACATTGAAAATGTTTCTGAACTTGCATTTGATGACATTACACCAGAAGACCCTGATTTCTCATCCATTCAAGGTTATACTTCTAGTGCTAGGTGACTGTCTTTAAATTTTTCATGCGATTGTGTTGTTCTGAACTATTTTGGATGCATTCAGGCTTGGCAGAAGCTGGCCTTATTGCAAGCAAGCTTTCTAGACGTGACATGCAATTAACTGATGATGAGGACCCCAGTACTTTGTACTTCTCTCCTGAAAGGTGTGGAGAATAGTTCATGAGCAGACTATCATCTGTATATTTTATTATTTTCAATTTATTATTGACTTGTAGAATGGCTCAATTGACAAATATTGGCTGATGAAGATTGCCAATAGTTTTCTAGTACCCATGTAGGAACTGGAGATCATATTATCAGTTGTTTCATTTCGATTATGCATGGATTACTATCTCTTTGTCTGCATGTAGTTTATTCATTGACATGTGAACATCTTAGAATTTTTCTATGAATTCATGAGTTTGTTAGCTTAGGCGTTGTTTTATTTGTTCTCAGTTTGTGTTCGAACACGTCCTTCGAATTGGATCCTAATGTTATATGTTAAAGATTCCCAGCTATTTCTGTAACTGAAGTTGCATTTTCATCGTAGTATAGTGGATTATATACCTTTGACTGAATTTTATCGATCCAATTTTTGGGCTTGCAGTCCTGTATCTCGTCAGGATCTTGTGAGTTGGAAAATGGCCTTAGAGAAAAGGAAGCTACCAATAGTTGACCAAAAGGTTGTATATATATATATATATATTCTTTTTTTTGGGTTAATGAATATTTAATTTAATTTATTGCATGTAGTACTGACATCTGCCCTTCCTGTAATTTAGATCATGCAGCAGGTATGTGGTTTCATAGACATTGACAAGATTCACCCAGATGCATGGCCAGCACTTGTAGCTGACTTAGCTGCTGGTGAACAGGGAATTGTAACCTTAGCATTTGGTGAGGGTCATCTGCATGAATGTATATGTTTGTTACTTGTATTGTATGCTTCTCTTGTGTGAGGATTATTTTTTCTTATTGTGTTACAGGGATACTAGATATTTTGATTTCTCACTTTATTTTTATGCAAGAAATAAATAAATTGAAATATTCTTTCAGATTAATGTATTAAAAAAGAAACATTTGGAAATTCTAAAAAAGAATAATTACAAGAACTTTTACTATTTACAAGAACCAACCCTGAGGTTTTACATCTATCTTACATTTTGCACACGCGTTTGTGGAGCTAACTGAAATTATTCCAGCCATCAATATTTTCAGGATTACATCGCTCGTCCTTGGGGGTTATTATAGCTATATCCCATCTATCATTTATAATAAATACAATTCTTTGTTATTTTCACCATGCACAAACCATGACGAATGAATTCTATTGTGACAGGATACACTAGACTTTTCCAGCCTGAAAAACCTGTGACCAAAGCACAAACCGCCATTGCACTCTCGACGGGCGACGCCTCTGTCATTGTCAGTGAAGAACTCGCACGAATAGAAGCCGAGTCCATGGCTGAGAAAGCAGTCACTGCACACAATGCTCTAGTCTCTCAAGTGGAGAAAGATCTCAACACAAGGTACGAGAAGGAGCTCTTACAAGAAAGAGAAAAAATCAACGTGGTTGAGAAAATGGCCGAGGAAGCTAGGAAAGAAGTCGAGAAATTGAGGTCCTCAAGGGAGGAAGAAAGACTTTCTTTGATGAAAGAACGTGCGTCTGTTGATTCAGAAATGGAGATTCTTTCTCGGTTAAGGCGGGAGGTTGAGGAACAGTTGCAAATGCTTATGGCTGATAAGTTGGAGATCTCGTACGAGAAAGAAATGCTGAACAAACTCCGCACAGATGCAGAAAATGAGAATCGGGAAATAGAACGGCTACAGTACGAGCTGGCAGTTGAGCGGAAAGCTTTGTCCATGGCTAGGTGAAAAAAACTCGATATCATCTTTACTCTTTTTCTTTTTTTCGAAAGCTATACCAACTTTAATATTCTGATCAAAACATAGATATGTCTGAGGATCACACAAATGATTTCGACGAAGGAAAATAAATAGTATTAAAATCATGGATCGACAACATATAGTTCAATTCACATCTGATAAAATAATATGAAATGATAACACTAAATAAAAAA